GCATTCATGAAGGAAGTAGAGCTATTCACGTGTGAAAGCTTGTCGGCAGGCAAAGCTTTCCCAACGATGAGCTTGTAGCGTTGTACGCCCAAATTGGCTGGCTATAGTATTGAAGACTGGAAGCTCAGGTTGTTCAGATGGCAGTTGAACTGTTCGCTGAGCTTGGCAATTTGGTTGCACTCTCTAACAAGACGTAAACAATTTACAACAGCGGAACTCCTCATCACGGACGCCTTCTTAAAGGACGTCAGTGTATCCGCACCAGCCTGCTGTATATGCGCGTATCCTACATGTATAGGGACTATGTGCTGGAAAGCTTCGATACAGGCACATCGAATCGCTTCCATTTGACCTGTCTGGATTGTTTGCTAACATTGCGTGCACTGTCTTCTTTCTTCTTGTCTTTTCTGCTTTGGGCAGTACCGTATACGTCATTGATCCGATCATTCGGATCTGCGTCACAGATCGACATACCAGCGCAATAGATCCTCTGATTCGTCATTCACTCGTTCTACTCGCTAACTAGTTACGAAAATGGGCTCAGTTATGTTACCACAATACAACTCAATTAGGCGGTCGGAGAAATGGGAATTTCATGCACCGTTTCTTCTTATGTGTCCAAAGTCAACTCATCTTGAGGTCTGTTAATTTTCAGTGCTAAATTTTTGTACCACTCCCCTGACAAGTTCCGGTGTCACAGAGCCCAAGGGAACCGCCGTATATCATTCAATAGAGAATATGGTGTTTCTTTTTAATAGGGAGCACCGTTTGTTACACAAATAACTAAGATTACAAGTTGCATCTCTGAAGCGTTGTTACTCTTGTCACCTTGTGTTCCATCCGTCTTATCAGATCTCCCCCGCACTTATCCAGAGAACATTCGCTTCAGAGACGAGAACAGCCCCAAAAGCCTAATCCCCTCGTTAAAACGTGTTCTATCGGCTTTTGCAGTGCAATTCCCGCACATCGGTTATTGCCAAGTACGTCTTTTGTACATTAAATTTGTCACTTTGTATTTGTGTGTATGTGGTTAAACCGACGCGGCGATATCTGCTGAACAGTAACTCTTTCCCTTCCACAAATTCATAATCTACAATGAAATCGCCATTCTGAAAGGTTTGTTGAATTCTGACGTTGATCTCTTCCCAGGTAGCCGAGCTGTTGATTTGGACTACTTTGATGATGCTGTTTTGGTAGGTGACAGTCAACAGACAATACAACTTGTACTTAACCGCTTGGCGATTGAACGGTCAAACTATGGGATGCATCTCCCCATCTGAATGCAAAGGTTTTTTTCAAGACTTAGATCCCTTTATCTGAATTCACTCGTGTTGGTGAGACACTGCAGCTTATGGAGTTTTGTCTATCTGGGAAGTTTCATCACTGCCGGAGGAGCTGTCGGAGGTGAGCTTTAGATGCTCAAGTGATCTTTAGATCTCAAGAGCTCCTCTCGCTTTCTTCCGACTGAGGTATTTGTGGCGCCGCCATGACATCCGTCTCTTCATCAAAGGGCGGGTTTATTGGGCGGCTGTTCACTGTACTGCTGTACGGTTGCGTGACCTAACCTTTTCATACTGTTGACGTGCATCGACTGTTTGTCTTCGAGCACCGTTGCTTGCGGTCCATTGCCCGTGTGTCTAAGTTAGCTTGTCTTGAATGAAGGCAAGCACTCGCTCAAGGAGCTCGTCCCGCTTCGTCAACTGCGGTGGCTTGCTCACGTATCGCGCATGCCCGTTCATCGTCTTCCGCGTCGGGCGTTGTTTGCGGTTGCTAGAGAGGTCTGGAGGAGACGGTGAGGTGGACAACCTACGAGTTAGAGAAGCGACATGAAAAACTGTCGAAACAGTTGGCCTCGATCGGTTGTTCTCGACTCCCTGATTTGGAGTTACATGATATGGACTGTTGCTGCTTGGATATCTTGGAAGTCATGGCTCGAGACAGACGTCAGTGGCAAGACGTGTATCTCAACATACTGCAGTGATCTTCATTCCTTCTTCTAATAAGATAAACTATCACAAAACCTCGTTGTAACTGGGAGACTGGACAAAAAGTTACCCTTTTCTTTTTAGTCCAATCCCGTTTTCCTATTCCGCCATGATTCCGATGGCACGATATCCGTACCACAGATTATGATAGGGTGATCCGGCGTTTGTCTTGCTGTATTATGGCCCCGGTTCGAGCCTTTTCTCTCACATCGGTTTGAGCGCGCCCGTATTGTTCAACTCCGCCCACAATTGCATGGCGTTATACTTCTAACACCTACGAGTGTTTTCATCCCATCTGCTTCTTCTCAGGTAGAACATCCGCGGATGAACTAGCTATCATGAGGTCAGACTCATGCTGAATGTTTCGGCCTGTCTCTCGCACCGACACGCAGCTTACCTTTACAGAACTAGGTCGAATTGCTACTACCAATGGACGACTGTTCTACGTGGTCGATTTTTCATCTCTCTGGCCAACTCGCCAAGGACATTGCATTAGGATCGACAATACCTGAGTGTCTATATAGACACCGAAGTGGAGTATGTAGCGTTTCACTAGGACGGCGTTACTTTGCGAATCAGAAATATGGTCATTTTGCGCTGAAGACGCTAAGAAACCGATCGTATTTTTTTATCCCAATATTTACAACGTGTAGCTCACATACGACGTGATCTCCAAATAAGTCCTCCTGGCACCCATGAGTTGTTGTAGGCCATGCTCTTCCATTTACACTTCCATCGCCTATATATATATATATATATATATATATATATATACTACACAATCTGTGGTGCAGATATTGTGCCATCGGAATCATGGCTGAATCGGAAAACAGTATGGATAATAAGAAAAAACAGCAACAACAAAAGCTTTTTGTCTAGTATACCACTCAGTTTTTTGAAAATTTTTTGCAGCCTTTTTAGGGGGAGGAAGAAGGGACACCGCAACACACCGATGCACACGTCCCCATTGACATCGATCTTGAGCCATGGCTTCCAAGGTCTTTAACCAGCAAGTATCCGCATCTCTCGGACCACAAACAGGTTGTCGACAACAACCGGTCGAGGCCAACTGTTTCGTCAGCTTTTTCATGCGGTTTCTCCAAGTGCAGGCTGCTCACTAGACCGTCTCTTCCAACCCTGTTCAGTAAACGCAAGCAACGCAAGACACAGGTAACGCTGGACAGGCATGTGCAATACCTGTCCTAACCACCGCAGTTGATGCAGTAAGACGAGCTCCTCGAGCGAGTGGCTTCCACGTCCCAAGACACGTTGTCTAACTTCCACATTGCTTACGTGCTGCTGCCCCCACACACGGGCAATGGACCGCAGACAGCGGTGCTCGAAGTCGGATAGCCTGCGCAAGTCATCTTTACGAATGGGCCAGGTCTCGCATCTGTACAACAGTACAGCACAAACAGTTGCACAATAGACCCGCGCTTTGATGGAGAGACGAATGTCGTGGCGACGCCACAAGTGCCTCAGCCTAGAAAAAGCGAGGCGTGCTCTCGACATGCGCATCGAAATCTCGTCTCCAACAGCCCCGCCAGCAGTGATGCAACTTCCCAAGTAGACAAAGCTCTCCACAGCCTCTAGTGTCTCACCACCAAGAGTGAGTGCAGGCAGAGACACCTGCCAGTCTTGGAAGAGAGCCTTGCATTTGGATGGCGAAAAGTACATACTATACTTTGATGCTTCAATCGCCAAGCGGTTTAGTGGAACTTGGACGACGTGTGGATCGTCACCCAGCAAGACGATATCATCAGCATAATCCAAATCACCAACTCGACTACCTGGGAGGAACTCAACGCCAGCGTTCAACGAATCGCCCAGGGCGTTCTTCAGGACATCCTCAATCGCAACGTTGAATAGGAAAAAAGCTTCGAGCCAAAATGATCGGCCCATCGTCCCAACCGTCGCCTACTTCGGTGTGTGCTGTTTCCACACTAATTTGGATGACGTCCTCGAGAGGTTAGCCAGTGGTACAGTGGAAGAACTTGAGAAACTTGACTGACAGTCGCGACCAGGCCGGTACATGCTGTCCTTCTGAATATAGTCCTCGATATTAGCTTTATAATTTGGCTTAACCATGAGTTCAGTTGTGTTCCTGCTTTTAGCCGCTGACAATTCTTGTATATTTTTTGATGAATCCCTTTTCCTTTTCTATTGCATTGCTGCCTGTATACCTTGTACGTTGTCAATTCTCATGCTAGCGCTATCCACGAAATCTCGATCCACCGGAATTCAAAATTTCCCATCAGATATTAATCCTGATAACTAAGTGGCTCAATCTCTCACTTATTAGAACTAATTGGCTTCATCTGATAATGCATCACCACCGCCAACGCGTTTTGCTATTTGCTGAAGTGAATGGTTTCAAAGGGATGATCGCAACATCATAGTTATCATTACACGCTAGCTAATCATTACAGAACCCAAAATAGAACCTAAAACCAGTTAGCATAATCTTATGCATCGGGAATGAGGTCGTGATTAGTAGTGGAGAAGGGAGAGACAAAGAAACCCACAACACGAACACCATTGAGACCGGCCCTTTGCCATAGCAACAGTGGTATCCAAGCAGACATATTCATCGTCCTTGCGATGGTTCCAAAACACCATCTCTTAATTCGGTTGTTGATTCAATGTCTCGTTGTCAATACCAAATCCTGTTGTACTTTCCCTGAGAGACTGCTTTCGTTAATTTACCTATCTTGTTTGTATCTACGTGCCGTACTCCGTGTAGCTCCTACGAAAAGACACAGTTAGTACTTTTTCCTTCTTGCAGTGCTTCCTTCCTCATTCAGTTCTCTACTCTTATGTCCTTTTCTGATGCATCTTGTGTACTGTGTGTCCGACCACTGAACAAACTGACATGCTGACTTATTCTTACATAGTGCATTGTATGTCTAAGAGCCGATCCCACGTTAATTCATTGGTTGTATGACCGTCTTTAATGTTTACTTTTACCAACACGCGTTTCTCCGGAGTGTTGGTCAGTCTGCTTGCTTGTGCTATCGAGACAAACACGTCTCCGGTGTACTACGTAGTTACTAACACACAGTATACTTAAATAAATATTTACATACGTTTTGTCAAAGAGGCCTTTCGGTTTCTGTGTCTAAAAGCCTTCAGTTTTCAGTTTCGATTTCTGCTCCAGCCTTCCCACGTATTACATCAAGCTGATAATTCTATCGACACGCGAACTACTTAGCTACTTTCTCTCAAGTATGCGAATAGCGCGAGTTTACTAATTGAAGCACCCACATGTTTTCGCATGTTGCTAGACTATACAACCCCTGACAGACTCGAGCTTTTCCAAATACTTACACTTCCTGTCCTTGTATACTACAGCATCATCTATGGGGACATGCGAATGGGTGACAGAAAAGCTTTGGAAAACCTGCAAAGATCATTCACTAAGCGCTTGTTCAGTAAATCAACCACCTTGAGTTATCAGTAGCGCTGCCAGCAGCTTAAGCTCGAACCCCTTCGGTTGCGACGACTGAAACATAACCTGATGCTGATACACAATCTCATAAATCAAAAGACATACTCCAATCTGTGTGGACTTAAAATTCAACATAACTTCACTCGGAATATGCGCAAAAAGATCTGTACATTATGTGCCGAGAACCAGGACAGCTACCCCATCAAACTACTTCCTCGTCGGATACGCTTTCGTATGGAATAGCCTACTAGCCACAATCAGGTCTTGCACAAATGCAAGAGCATTCCACATTCAGCTTAGCAAATTCCTTGACCAGAACTCGATAATCGCCATGTTCCCATCGGGTAAATCACCACACGAGTTCTTTCAGGATGGACCAAGGAATATATAATCAGTGATTAAAGGTGGTACAAAGAACTCAGCAACGACAAAAGTTACGTGATTCCAAATTATTTTGATATCATACGCCCCATATTACATATCTCACTCATGCATGAGCATGATATTGTACCCATGATCTGTCCACAATCCAGGGACAGCTTCTCGTACAATCGGGAAATATACTTATTATTATTGTTATTCTTATTATAATCTGATGAAAATGTCAGGCACTGCTTATTGAATAGATTTCCGTCTGGCCTGCGGCCACGCATAAAATCTAATTATCATTCCATCGTCACTGCTGTTCACCGGCTAGTTCTCGTCTTATCTCCTAGAGCATATATTTTATTTCATTGCCCTATACTGATTCCATCCAATCCACGCCTGATGTGTTTGGACCCATATCGTGCGTTGTTCATGCTAAACTCAACCAGTTCTACCTTGTCCTTCCGACCTACGCAGCTGCGGTTAACTCGCATGAGCGGTTCTTGGTTGGCTTTGAGTTTGATGACCCCGCGTCGAGCTCCTTCGTCCCTATCACCAACTGCCGTGACTTTATTTTTCAATTGTCTCACTGCTTGTTTCTTTTATTTATTTGCCGTTTGTACGCTCCATTTTATGGCACCAACTTTTACACAACACTGCTGCATTAATCTACAGGGCATGAACTACATCACCGCCATTCTGCTCCTCGTTGTAAGTGGTCATGGGGAAGAGGCAGAGGAGAAAGCATTTTGGCTTTTAGATGCCCTGGTGAATCACATCCTCCCCTCTTATTACGCCGATGACATGGTATCGGTCCGGCGTGACTGCATGGTTCTGGGACAATTGCTGAGGTGAGTACTTTCTCCTGATATTTCGTTGTTCGAGTGCACCGCTTTGCCTCGTGATTACCTATACTAAACAACAGGACAAGAACCGGTTGTTGATCACGCATCTCGTGGGTGAGCAGGCTGTCTTAACCCGGTCAGTCTGAACAGCGTCGGCGGACCGACTCAGGTTGGAACGGGAAAAAACATCGAACCATCGTCACTAGACTTGACAGTAACAAGACACAACAGTGTCTACCATGTAACTGACCTGTGACACGGATCAATTAGAGGACGTTCCATGCGCGTTGTACCACTAGAATGATCTCTTAACCACAATTATCCACCGACCCAGGTTATTTCTCGCAATCATCATTCTAAGTTGCTGTTGAAACCAAGCCAATTTTGTACAACTTCTGGCCTGAGGAAGCTCTTGTCTCAAGGGCGAAACGTAGCCGTACTACAAGCCTTTAAACAACCGAGTTGTGTTTAGAAACCTAAAATTATGAATTCCCAGACTATCTCCCGTTCGCGAATCGCAGTACCGGAAAGAACAAGCTGGCTTCCAACCTGGCCGCGGGTGTGTGGATCAGATACTCACACCCCGTCAAATCCTGGAACACCACCACCTTTACCGAAGGCCTACTATCGTTGCATTCCTGGACATGGTGCCGCATCCGACCCGGTTGATGGACTTGCACTATGGCGTTGTTTGCCAAGGAACGGTGTCCTAGAAAAGTGCACTGCCATCCTACGCGCACTGTATTTCCACATCTCCGGCAGAGAGGGTGTATGGCAGGCTTTCGTCGTCCTTCGCTGTCAATAGCGGTGTACGACAGGGCTGCCCTATGTCCCCGTTCCTCTTCAATTTTGCGATTGAAAACGTCCTGTCGAGAGCTCTAGATGGTTACCAAAATTTTGGTCTACAGCTATTACCGGGTAAGTGAGCGATCTACTTAGATTATGCCAATGATATCGCCTTACTTGGTGACGACACACAGAGCATGCAAACCATTCTAGACCGTTTGGCGATTGTGGCAATGTGCTTTGCCCCGTCCAAGTGTAAACTGCTGCTTCAGGATTGGAACTCACCTGTTCCCGTGTTCACCATTGAAGGTACACAGCTTGAACAAGTGGATAGCTTTGTCTACCTGGGCAGCTGTATGTCTGCTGGTGCTACCATTGGTGTGGAAGTTTCTTTTCGCATCGCAATCGCTCGGTCGGCGTTTGTCAATTTAGAACACTTGTGGCGTCGTCGGGATGTCTCTCTCTCGATAAAGCTTCGTATTTACAATGCCACTGTTTGTTGGTGTTGCTATATGGAGATGAGTCATGTCCAGTTCGCATAGACGACATGCGCAGGCTCTCGGCCTTCGACAACGGATGCTTTAGGAGGATTGCTCGTGTGTGGTGGCAACACCACATCTGCAACAGTGAAGTCAGGCGCCGTGTTTTAGGTAATGCGAGTATTCCCTTCAACAAGCTGGTTTTGCTGCGCCAGTTAAGATGGCTTGGTCACGTTCTGCGTATGTCAGCTGAGCGTTTGCCCTATCGCGCTCTGTTTGATCGTGCAGGACCCAACTGGAAGAGACCCTGTGGCGGTCAGCCGTACACCTGGCGATTGCATATGAAATCGTCTTGCCACCGTTGGGTCCACACACATCTGCCTGGTTGGGGACCAAAGGTCGATGAGTGCTGATGGCTAGAACGAATTCAAGATATGCCTCGTAGTTGAAATCAGTGGATGATCTGTGTACATAATTGTTTAGATTTGGTTGCGTAATGCTTACTGATTGAAAACGACAAAGCTAGTTAAAGGTAGCACGTTCAAAATCACAAAAAATGTTCCGTTTTTCCTTTTATTGTGACACAATAGCTGAAGTGTGTTGCTTATCTTCAGTTAATCCTTTGAATCCTGAATAAATTTACCCATAACTTTTTCATTATTTTTTATAAGATAGCTTTTGGTTCATAATAAATATAAAAAGAATGAAATAAAATTTTTGTTATCATTTTCGTGTTTATTTTTATGGTGGTACTTGTAAGTACCGACAATAACTTAGGTCATCAACATTGTCACCATGAAGGTACGTCACTGAAAATGATATTCTTGAAAACAATTTTTATCGTTTCAGCACAAAAATTCATCACAAAAGCAAATTTTGACTATAGTGTAGATTAGATTTTTCGAATAAGAGACATTTCACATCTTCCAATTTCTGCAACGAATTCAGACCAATGAACACCAAGGTTCTGTGTCCTGACATCTTTAGGTAGAGAATACTTGTTTATCCGTCTTCACTTAAGTTTGTTTGGTGATGACATCGTATTAAGTGAAGGACGGCCTCTTTTTCACTGGTCTACTTTCTATAGCAACAACCTCTTCGCCAAGTTTGTTCGAAACTTCAGCAATGGGATGTCATGGTGAATATTACTATACATTACATATGCATTGACTTGCCATTTCCGTCATTGTGAAAATCAGTCTGCGCCACCATTTTTGTTTTCCTTTCATAGAGACATATCTTGAGCGCAGTATATGTGCTTTGTCCACTCTGCCCATGGCTGAATTATAATCTTGTCCTATCTTAACTGCCACTACCTCGCCCATTGTTCCAATCTGCTCTTTACGCCTCATATTAACTGATTCACTTCCATGGTACTTAGGCACATACTTGTCATCCTCCCATTTGAAGAATACAATTCTTTGATCTGTAGAAATATAATCAAAATCACCTCTTCATCTCTTTGTCCTCTCGAAGTTTAGGAAGATATTTCCTATTTTGAACGGACAGTTCCAAAATGTTGTTCGCCTTTAGATCTTTAGCTAATTCCACAGTTATGTAATAATTATCCATTACCGCAGCATATCCACCTCTTTTCAAAGTTTGGGTGTGTTTATGCACAATACTTTCCCCCAATCCAAATCGGTCTTTAGAATTAAATGTGTCCTGTGATTTGCCTTGATAACTTCAAACTCATAATTATAACCACTCATATCGGCTCCATACCACTACTACCTACAAAATGAAAATTTCAATAAACACTCATCACAATATCTCGATATGCAATACCAAAAAATGAGGATATTAATGACTATGAAATGAATTACGTACTTTTACAGGAATAACTTGTTCACATCTCCAAATTTTGCGCCCCGCTTTAACTCTCTGTATTACTCTTAATGTTTGGCGGTACTTTCCGGTACCAACATATATGTTGGATCAGTATAATAGAGATTTCGCTTATAATTGTAAAATAAATATATCAAATCATGGTATGAATACTGAATACTGTATTATAGAGCAAATGGATTCTGTACAACTCTTTTGAAATATGGTGAACAACATTATAAAAGTTGTCAGCCGTGAATATCGTTGTCGTTCTCATGTAACATTTATAATATTTGACTCACGATATTGCAGGACTCACAAATGTGATATGTCATCGTTAGTGTGCAATCGTTCTCTGAATCGACTAGTGGTACAATATAAATCTAACGACGTTTTGAACTGGTGCACAGATGTTGCCTCCATCACACGTTCAGGTAAACTGTTCCAAATATTTACCACTCTCCGTTCGAAGCACATTGGGTGTGGAACACGTTTCACATCCGGCACGACAAGCTTGCATTTGTGTCCGCGTGTGCTGCATGGCCCTTGTAAGTGCAGCATTGGCCTTAGCATTGGGAAGTCACCGAGATGTAGAGTACGGTAGGTCATAATGAGGTCGACTGGCACCCGACCGTAGGACAAGGTGTAGAGTCCTAGTTTCTCGCACCGGTCTTCATACTGCGAGCCACGTAAACTCGGGATGAGCCTGGCAGCAACGCGTTGAACCCCTTCAATCTTCTGTGCCTCGGCTCGAGTAATCGGAAAGTAGGCGGGCGAACCATACTCTAACATTGGTCTAATGATGAAAGAGAAGAGATGAGTGGCAACCTCTTCAAACCATGTGCCGAAGCTACGTTTGAGCGCGTAAACCGTGAGCAGACTGTTGCCATATAGCCTGTTTGGATTGTCCACGGACTTCAAATCGTAGCGCGAGAGTACACCTAGGTCCTTCACAGAGGGTGTGGGATATAGCGGTTGACCGTCAAGGGTGTTGGTTCGGCCGTCAGCACCCTTCCCCAAGCTAATAAATACAGACTTGGCTGGGTTGACCGGGAGAAGAACTTCTGCAGACCATGTGGATAGGTTGTTGAGGTCTTCCTGAAGTAGGCTACAGTCATCGGGAGCGTCAATTTTTCTCCAAATCTTCATGTCGTCCGCGAACAAGGCCCACGGCGACAGGAAAATCTGAGGTATATCGTTGATGTGGATCAGGAACAGAGTGGGCCCCAGCACAATGCCTTGGAACAGTCCACGTATAGAGGGACAGCAGTCAGTTAGTTGTCGACCTCTACCCTCCATTTTCGTCCAACAAGTAAGTCGCGGATCCACCGGTGCAGTGAGCCACCGACACCACACATGCTGAGTTTGTGAAGGAGAACCTCATGGCTGACCTTGTCGAACGCTTTACTGAAATCGATGAATATCACTTCGACAGACTTCCCCTTGCTTATTGCCTTCAACCACTCATGCCTCGTCACAAGCAGGTTCGTAATGCATGAGCGGCCTTGCATAAAACCGTGCTGTGCGGTCGTCCACTACAAAAACGAATAAAGTTTACTACGGCTGGCCAACTGCCACAAAACCAACTAAAATTTTACCAACTAAAACAACCACACACAGTCCTCTGAAACCACTTTCCGTCGACGTTCAACGCAAATCACAAGAGTTAACACCACACACCGGAGAGCAAATTATCAGGGTTCTGGTCATTATCTTATTGTTGACAGGAGGCTATTGTATGTATTCTCGCGAGTACCTGCAGTAATAACGCTTGCATTTAAGCAGTATTACAAGTTAGGCAAGGTGATACTTTTAAGTGCTGCCAGTACACAAAGGGTTAATCTTCCGTGACGATGATACCGTGTCAAACCTACTTTCTTCCTGTGATTTCCATCGTTTTGTTTGGCTCTATGT